TCCATGAAGCTGAACCTCGACACAAATCCTTTAACCAGCGCAAAGATTTACAAACATGCAAGCAGACTTCAAAACTGAAACACACCAACAGTTTTACACGAGTCCTGTCCTCTTCTGAATCCGCTGCTCTTTCCCTCCATTATTCATCACCTCACTGCTAGCCCCCACTCAGGAGAGGACAATGTTGCTGTGGAAACTTGACCCAATTTATAAAATATAAGACACTTTAAAACCTAAAAGTCCAAAAGGAGCCACTCTTTCTGGATGCCAAGTATGTTCACAAAAGTAGAAAGATGCACCCAGAGGAGATGAAGCGCTGAGGAGTTCACCTGCAGGCAAACACTGGAAATTATATTCCGCTTCTTCCCAACCCCCACTTCTTTTTTTTTTTTTTTAAATCCCAAACCTCTGCACGGACTTTCCTGATCCGACCTCGAGCCAGAGGCCTGAATGAGCAACGGTGAGTGGCTGCTCTGTCTGCACGTCCTTTTAAACGTGCCTCTTCTGTCTGTTCAACAAAAGTCTTTATTTAGACGTTCAGCTCGTGCTCTTCATCTTCGCTCTCCTAAGATCCAAACAAACAATCACAGAGCGGGGGTTACTCCACACCAGCTTTCTGCTCAACTTGCCACTTTCTTTAAGACTTTTCCAGCAGAGATTAAAACAAAGCAGGTTGAGCTTCTCCAAGTGGCTGCCCCAGGTCCCTGTACAAGTTGATTTCTATTCACACACCACCCTGCCTGTAGATATTACAGTCATAGTCAAGACTCACCTCCTGTCTTTAGTTTATAACTAGAATCAGACATAAAACACGATCGCCCACCGCTGACGGCTGAGGTGTTCATGCATGTGTGCACATGTTCATTTATCTGATGTGTTAGCAAAATATGTGTAGAAAGTAATCATTGTATGCACAGAATCAGAATCAGTTTATTATCGCCATGTCAATGAACGAGGTTCACAAACTAGGAATTTGCTTCGACATAAGGTGCGAATAGTAGTAAAGTAAAATAAAGTAAAAATAAAGTAAAAATTAAGTAAAAATGAGAACATTACATAAGACATAAGCCTGTGTACACCCACAAATAAAGTAAAATTAAAACCATAACATAACCATATGTACACCCATACAATAGAAAATAATAAAAAAGCTTAGAAAACAGTACAGATGGAGTATTCAATTATAATACAGATGTAATGTGACCAAAGCAGAAATTATGAGGTAGCATTATGAGTGTTCAGGAGTCCAACAGCAGAGGGGAAGAAACTGTTCTTATGGCGGGAGGTTCTGGTCCGAATGGACCGAAGCCTCCTGCCTGAGGGGAGTGGTTCAAACAGTCTGTGTGCAGGGTGAGCAGGGTCAGCTGTGATCCGACCTGCACAGCTACAACTAGTCAACTTTTTGTCCACCTAATCAAAGATGGCTGCCACAGAACCTTAGCAAACCCACAAATGGTTAAAATTCTGTCAATATGGCGGATGTAGAACCAACAATTGGTGTGGTAGTAGCCGAGAGTCATCCTCAGCATATAATTCGAGAGCTAACATCTCGCGAGATGCAGCATTGGATACGCACATGACATCATTTCCAAGGTTTGACCAAAACAACTTTAACTCCTTCTCATCTTAAAATAACTTAATTTAAAAGTCTGGCATAAAGGGAGGCGGGCGATATTCCTTCAAGGAATGCCAGGCCTTTGTTGAATTTAAGTTTTCAGTTGTTTTTTTCCTACTATTTGTATTTTGTGTTTATATTAACTGATCCTTGTTGATCAACTCAACAACAAAGCACTCTGGTTGATTTACTTTACTGTTAAATCTGCTCTTAAAATTTATTTGTGTTTAGATTTTTCTGTTTCAGCACCATGTGCTGCATTGCTGTCATATCAACATCATGTATTTGTCACGTCTAGACTGGACTATTGCAATGGTTTATTATCTGGGTGTCCAAATACTTCTTTTCAGTTGATCCAAAATGCTACTGCCAGAGTCTTAACTGGAGTTAGTGGGAGAGATCATATCTCTCCAGTTTTAGCTTCTCTCCATTGGATCCCTGTCAAATCCAGAATAGAATTCAAAATCTTACTTCTAATCTACAAAGCCCTCAATGACCTAGCTCCATATTGTATTACAGATCTTATTGTTCCATATTTTCCTAACAGAGCACTTCACTCTCAGACTGCAGGCTTACTTGTGGTTCCTAGAGTTTCTAAAAGCAGAATGGGAGGAAGATCTTTCAGTTATCAGGCTCCTCTCTTGTGGAACCAACTTCCAGTTTCTGACCATGAGGCTGACACATTATCCAGTTTTAAGACTGGGCTGAAGAGTTTCCTTTTTGATAAATCCTAGTTAGGGTTGACTTAGTTTCCTGACATATCCCTTATCCTATGCTGCTATAAGCTTAGACTACTAGAGGACAAAATGACCTAATTTCATGAAATGAATAATCACAAATGAATAGTTATTTGTAATTATTTCTATCTTAACAGGATATATTTCGTCTTTCCTCCTAGTGGGGACCTGCTCACCTCCATTCTGTGTCTGTTTTTCCTTCCTGTCCTCTAAAACCCAGCTGGTTGATGCAAATGTCTGCTTGTGTAGAGTCTGGTTCTGCTGGAGGTTTCTTCCTGTTATGAGGGAGTTTTTCCTTTCCACTGTTGCCTTTGTGCTTGCTCAGGATGGGAGACTGCAAGTGAAGACTCAACACGATCTATATGAATGTATTTGTTCAGTGCCCTGAGATAACTTCTGTTGTGACTTGATACTATATAAATAAACTGAATCGACTCTAAAAGTCAAACATTAATCATACAAAATAATCATCTGGCTGATTTTTACATTTATCAACTATAAAATCACCCTTCAGCTGAGCTTCAGGAAACCCTCGTGAATCCAGATGTTTCAAATAGTATAAATGGTTAAGTTGAGTAAGTAGGTCGCAGCTGTCACGTGTTATTGTGTGTAACATTAATGAACATGTCGTCAGACACACACACATGTAACAGGCGACTACAGAATCGTGCACGCACAATTAGGAAGTGAACCATGCGAAGAATCAGATGTGCGGAAACCTCCGTCGTGTAGCATTTACACCACACAGTAAACGCACATGCTGGGGGGGGTCGGGCTGTCTATGACGACGAGCCACTCCCGAAGTGAATCACGGTGGGTCTGCGTGACTGTGGAGGAGGAGGCAGAAATGTAGGCCAATCATTCTGCTCAGCTGCTTTAAAAGCTAAAGCAGAGTCGACTCCAGCAGCCATCGTCGCCTCCACCCAACGCCGCAGCTTCGTTTTTCACCCTCGCTCGGTGTTTTGAGTATTTCTGTTCAGCTCCGACTTTCTTCCGGTCCAGACGAGTCGGTGCCCCGGCAACTGTTGCCTGGCTACAGCCTGGTGGTGACCCCATAAACACCTCCCTGGAGGAGAGGAGCGCACATTAACGAAGCAGGGCTGGTTGAGGAGGAGACGACCTGACAGGACAGACGTGGTGCATAATTGAAAGAGCAGACTGGGTGTAAATGTTTGGTTCTGAATCTAAACCAGCTGGACCCGAGGTTTTGTTAACCTGCTCCAGTGACTCAATCTGAACACAGATCATTTGATCAACAAGGCCAGAAAGCAGCTTGTTGTCTGAATTTAGAAGCAGAAAATTGTGATCTTAAAGAGTTTTTGCTTAAAACCCAAGATCAAGTTTGTTGTTTTGGGACCTGAACATTTTAGGAATCAACTGTCCAGACATTTATTTACTCAAGACGGCGCTGACTTGACCTTCCACGTGAAGCGACCTGCCCCAAAAAGAGTTTTTAGGATTTCAAACTATTTTCAGATACAGGTTTCCAGGTGATACAAAATGCTGAAGCAAGTTTTGATGAGCAACAGCACTAGTTTTTATTTTTTCAAATTATTTTAATTGGCTTTTTGTTTAACTCTAGAAATAGTTCAAATTGATTTTTTTCTCACATTTTGTGTTATTTGTGACCAAGCCTCATCAAATCCTAATATACAGTAGTTCCATATTATCTTGTTCACACTCAGATTACATCTTTTTTTTTTTGTGGTTATTTGTTTCTGATCAAGTTTTTTTTTCTTTTTACCAAAAGTCCATGCTCATTAATCCAAGTATAAAATCCAACAATGTTCAATGAGGTCACTGAACATTGTTGGATTTATAACTGGATTAATGAGCATGGACTTTAGTGTTTTGAACCCGTTTGACATGACCGTTGACGAGGGAGAGGGCGTGTCCCAGAAGCCATCTTAGCACCAACATACTGGTTTTTTTTTTTCCACTTTGGAGTAAGCTGTTGGTGGAGAATCAGTTTGGTTTGGTGGTTTCTCGGGCTGACATTGTTGGGTTTTTTCTTTTCGTTTTGTTAAGCTATTAAATCCACTATTTGAATTATTTGACCACTAAAAGACTCCTAAACTCAAGGAATGAACCAGCGGTGTGTCTAAACAAACATTTTATGCACTTTGTTACCCACTAATCAGCAGCCAGTTACAAAAACACAATTTCTTTCTGTTTTTTTTTTAGCTGCGCTTAAGAAAACGTTAAAGATTTCACAATTTATTGGACATAAGTGATCTCAAAAGAACTGTACACCCCAAAATTTGCATATCATAACCTTATGTGCAGTGTGTGTCCTAATAATAATAATAATAATAATAATAATGAGGGAAGTGAAGAGATCTGCAGCAGATGAAAAGTACATGAAAGTCATGTTGTTGAGAAAAAGGAAACTATAAACTGTAAAGGACCTGAAACAGAACCTAAAAGAAGCATCATCCTTCAGCTGAGCACCTTTAGCAAGCTTTCAGCTAATAACTCTTTATAAACTAAAATTGGTTGAAGTGATTCATAAAGCCACTATAATGGGATTAAAATAAGGGCATGATTGAAATAAATTGGATTGTAATTAAACGTGTTCCCTTTCTTTGAGCTCTCTGATTTTTATTTTGTGAATGTGTGTTATAAAATAAAGTGAGCCTGAAACTCACAGGAACAACGGCGTCTTCATAGAAACTCCAGGCCAGCGCCCACCTCATGGTCCGTCCCTGGCAGAACTCAGTGTGGGTCACTTTAGGCACCTGACAAAGACAACAAACGACAAAAGTCAGAACCAGTTTCCCACTTCGGTCTGGTAGGTTTGTTTGAACAAACCTGTTTCCACAGTTTTGTGATTTTCTTTACTACATAAAAACAAAGAACCAAACGGTGAGAAAAGCAGGAATTTAAAGGTTCATCTGTTGCCATTCTCAGATAGTTTATGATCTGTGAACTTGGATTTTAAGAGTTTATCTTTGTTTACAGATTAGATTGTTCGTGATTCCTGTTTAGATAATCTCATCAGTTTTTGCATAAAACTCCACCTATGACCAACAAACTTGTTTTCTGATGGTTCAAAAGCTCCTCGAGTTGAAAAATGAAGCTCTAATTAGCAGGAAACAGTTAAGAGAGAATAAACTAATAAGTGATAAACGTATCTGCACATTAACTAAATAAGTTTTTTTAATTTTACGCTGTGGTTAAAATGAGGAATCGGTCTCCTCCCTGGATGTTGGCCAACGCTGCACTCCGTCTGATGAGCAGCGACGGCAGCCTCAGTCCTCGGCAGCAGGTGGAGTGGAGGCAGGAGCAGACAGTGGATTAGACGGGGTGTCTTACAAAACAGAAACTGGCTCATTCGTGACTCGTTAGCTTGTTTTAACCAGCTGTTATCAATGCCAGACCTGAGCTGTTCCTCTAAGAACAAACTGAGATCAGAAACTCTCATTGACCAGTGTGTGTTTTTTCTTTCTCCTCATTCTTTGTGGAAACTCACCCTTTGCTTCCTCAGCTCCTCTTTCAAAGGTGTCAGGCTACATTTCTTGCCCAACATGCAACTGTACCACCTGCAGAAAGAAAAATGCACATCAGCCAGCTGTTTGTGGCTCACAGGCCAGACACAAACTACAAAGCAGAGATCAAACGACCACAGGGAAGCTTTAGGGAGTAACACAAAGGTGAAGCCAGGAAAAGCAGCAAAACATCCGGTGAGCTCGGTCCTGCAGCCCAGAAAAGGCTGTTTTGAAGTGTTCCCGAGGTGGAGGCCTGATCAATAATCTCTACTGTGCAATAAAGACATGAGGTTAATCAATGAGTGGGGGGTGGAGTCCAGCTGGGGCAGATGGAGGAGAGATGAACACATGAGGGAGTCTGGACGCGAGGTGGGTCACGCTGCATCCTCTGGGCTAAAGAGTGGAGACGACCTGCAGCTTATCGCTTCACAGTTCAAACAAACATCTGGGCTGGTGTGGAGGAGGGACAACATTAGCATCTGTGAACTCTGTTAATGCTGATCCACATGTACAGCTGCTGCAGCAAGTAACCCTAATGACAATTAGCTTCTGGGAAAAACATAAACATAGTCCTTTATCGCACTTATATGCGTTTTCTACAATTCTATTTTTTTTATTCCAATTTCTCAAAGCAAATGCGTTTTTGCACAGAATGATATAGCCAGAAGTGCACAAAAAATTGCTGTTGCACGTATTTAGAAAAGAAGAAAAAAAGACATCATGGAAACAGTTCAACTAGGCCTGTCATGATAACAAATTTTGCTGGGCACAATAATATTGTTTGAAATTTGACAATAATTAGTCATTATTGTCAAATTTAAGAAGAAACGTTTAATTTGTTTTGAGCGTAGTACCTGTTTTCAACCACCAGATGGCAGTATAAGACTGTTTGAACCAAAGGATGGATAGTGAGGGAGCGAGCAGTGTGTCTCTAAGAAAAATGGGAGGGAGGCCCCTTAACGTGACATGAGCTGTCTCTCTTTGGTTCTCAAAATGGCAGAAGCTCGGTGTGGTTTGAGCTCTTTAGCATAGCATTTGCCACACAAAGCTTTTAATTAAAAAAAAAAATAAATCAGTAAACAAGTTTTCAGCTTTTTTGCAGAGAAAAACAACTTTTTAGACAAAGGCACAAGTTTCAACCGTGAATTTTGGAGCTTCGACAAGACGGAGGTCCCCCCCCACCCCCCGAGGTTGGCCTGTTAGCTTAGCTTCTCAAATTAGCTGCTTTTAACGATCAAAATGGATTTTAAAGAGAAAAGAGAAAGGGAGGGGGTCAATGAAGAGCACCGGAGTTGAGCCTTGTGTCATCCAGTGTCTTCAGTAGAAAGAGAGACAAATAAATGATAAAGCCGATAAATGAAAATGAGGTTGATAATTTTGATTTATCATGCGATTAATTGATTTATCGTTTATCGCGACTGGCCTAAGTTCAACTTGTGTTGGGTTGTAAAAAGGACTGACATGTTGGTTAGGGAGGGATGAGGATGTCGGGGGACGTGTCGAGCTTCAGCTGACATAACAAAAGATTGATCACCTCTAATAATCGCAGATGTTTGCCACTTTTCCTCACAGTGGGGAGGAGAAACACCCAGAACCTGATCCACCAGCAGCGTTTGAAGAATCAAAGAGTGCAGCTGCAGGAGCTTTCAGTCTTCCCTCTTCATATTTCCAAACCACAGGCGTGTAATTAAAGTCTGGATGCAAGAAATAATCATTTCCCTATCAATAACACAATGAATTATTGCATCAGTTTAAACGCAGCTTTGAGCTCCTGTCTGACAGTAATTAGCTTTTGCTGGAAAGAGAGGAAGGAGGAGCAGTTCGGGGTGGTGGGGTGTCTCCCTGGACCAAACGTTAACAGCTGGCACCGTTTCCATGGACACCTGCTAGCTCAGCTGTCCCAGCATGCTTTGTGGAGTGACAGCTGGATGTGGTTGGTTTGTCTGGAGCTTTGAACTTCAATAAATCTGGATTCGCTCCGACCGTCTCTCCTCGCTGCATGAGCGTGACACAGGGACACGTAAGAGGACAGGCAGGTGTTAACATGAGATCCTCTCAGGACGCTCGTCTCTCCACTGAAGCATCACACTCACACACACACCTCCCTGTATGAGGCGGAGCAGGTGTGGCACGTCTAACAAGTTTTAATGGTTCCACTCTGCCCAGGTCTCACTCCGCTGCCCCGGTGACAACCCCGCTAATGTGGGGGAAGGTAAAGAGACACCCCCCCACCCATCAACCCAAACACAGCTGCTCCCTGTGGGCTCCTGGATACAGAACAAGGTGTGCGTGTGCCAGAATCATTCCAGCAACTGAGGGTGACAACTCCATCAGTGTGCAGCAATCCATCTGCCATTTACACCACACTGACCCAGTGATCCATCAAAACTGCAGCGCACACGATACAAGATAACAGAATAAAGTCCAGACTTTAAATTTAGATTTAGATGAAACGGGACCTAAGAATTATCAAAAAGTCTCGTTTTTATTTCCCCTCACCGGAGCCGTTTCTTGAGCTGCAGGCTGTCATGGATGATCCTCTTGACGAACTCCAGCTCACCTCCCTCTGCCATGATCTCAGTCACCCCTCCTGTGTTCACCGAGCTGGGAGGAGCTCGCCGGGAGTTCCTGGAGTTCACCCCCTGGAGGAAAAGAGAGCGCAACAAGACAGACAGAGATTAGGAGGAAATCCTATTAGAGGCCTTTTAGAATCACGTAAACAAATAAGTGTTTCATGTCCGAGCTGCTCCAGCCTTTAAGCACAAGCTGAGTTTACTCAAAGAACCAACTAAAACACTCAGGTCAGAGGCGAATAAAACGTTTCAAAATGTGGAGAACAAAAACGCTTACCTTCGCTTCAAGCTGGTTTGCAAAAAAAGGCGGGTTGCACATGCAGAAGTCGTAAACTATTTCTGTCTCTTCTTTCAAAGCGTCCATCAGCAACGTCTTCTGTGGGACCTTGACCACTGAAAGCAACCAGACCAGGTTAGCTGTGCTGACGTTATGGGCCTTTTGAAGTGGGGCTCTATGGAAAGGTTTTGGACAATGAACATCTTACCTGTTTGTAGATAGTTCTAATGACCTCAGTTTGAAGAAACTGAGTTCAATTCTGACAGAACTGACGAACTAACGAACGAGGAAAAGGCCAAAATGGATCTCTACGATTTTTAAAAGACTGTAATCTGAAATATTTCAAAGCACTTCAAGCAAACACTTCTATAAAAACTTAAGTCAGGGGAATTTAGATAAAAGTTATGGATGGTTATCAGTAACTAATGTTATACTAATGTGTGTGAGTTAGAGTTGCTTTATTGCCAAGAGACAGCTCAGAGCTCTCTGAAGAACTCCAAGGCCTCCGTCGTCTGTAAGCTGGAAAGCAGAGGTCGTCTTGACCTTGTCTCTGTCTTATAAGCTTTATAAAAAGGCACTTCTTTAAACTGTCCACGGGCAGACCATGTGACCAAAGCTACAATGTAACATCTGTGTAAGCCTGTATGTTAACTTTGCCCCCGCTGCAAGGAGTAAACTGGGTTGAAAATCTTCTCGTGTCCTCAGAGTGGCTTATTTGAGTAAAAAGATGATGAAAGAATATTTATTTTATCCAACACCTTTACATTATTAACAATTTTGTAGGACAGTTGTATACATAGAATGCTTATGGTTATTTTCAAGAAAACATAGCAGCACCAGCAGCTAGCTGTAACACTTCCAGCAGGAATGTCACAATATTTCTGCTGGAATAATCATGTAATGCAACAAGACACTGAATGTGATAAAGCACTGATTAGTCTTTGCAGAATGATTTGTTCGATTAGTTTTGTAGAGATCTAGTAGAGTGCTGTATGAATGGGTAAAGGTTGAATGAATGAATGGGTAAATGAGGACACAGATTGTAGTGTAAAGAGCTTTGAGTATCTTGATAAGATAGAAAGGCGCTATATAAATACAGTCCATTTACCATGTAAATGTTATCTACAACAGGTGAGATACTATTTGTTTACAACCTTGCCACAGAATCCACCCCATTTAAAAAAATATCTGATTTATTGTTCAAATCCTGCTTTATTCTTTATCTCATCTTTATTTGTTGACTTCATTATTGTGCTAAAATCTTACAAGTAACTCAAAGCCGGCCACATTTTACTGTCTGACCTTTAACAGCTGACTTTAAAATGCCCACTCCTGTGGTGATTTTTGAAAGGATTCAAAAGCTCCTCATTCAAATTATGTCCTCTATTAAAGAGTTGCATTAAAACAAAAAAAAGTAAAACAGCTCATCAAATGCATGCAAATAGTATAAGGATGCAACTTTTGATTAAAACAACAGCCACATCAGATGATAAATCTATTATGTGACCAAAAAACTAATTTAAACTTCTAGAGGATCTACAATAGCTCAGCTTGAACAAAGAGCCAGACTGCCTTCAAGCTGATTCAGTGTCTGAGAAATATTCCCAGAACAATAAAAAAAATAGTTGCACCAAGACTGTCAAAACATATTTAATAAATTATAGTTTGGAGACTAGGAGGTGGCACAAAGAGGCACTCGGGTCAAAAGACTGAAAACCAACCGGTGCTCTAAACCAGACTCACCTTTAATCAGGTCAGACATGTTGTTCTGCTCCACGTTCTTCTTTGCATAGTCGAAGCAGATGTCATCGACCTCTGTGGCGAGGAAGTACCAGCCGTTCATCGTGGCTCCCAGTAAAGGATAGATACAAGACGCACCGGTGCCTGAGGAAACAGGAAACGTGCACATCTTAGGTACCTGACACAGATTATTAATCTGTCAGTGCAGTGTTAGGATTTATTGTGGCTGTTGATGATTGAGAAGAAAAACACGCGCTGGTGTTTAAAGTAGAAATCATTTGATCTGATGTCCTCCTAAATATCTTGGCCTGATTAGCCAATAAATGTCAGTTCCAGCAGGGATAATGAAATCAGTCATATAAGCTGCAATATTCAGTCCACTACTAAAGAGACAGCCAGACGTGATCCATCAAAGACAGCCTCATTCTGCTTTTTAAAGGTTTCAGGGTTGACAGTCAGTGACCTGAAGTCCTAAAGACCGCACACACGAGCACACACATCTGCAGGGATCACAAAGTGTTCCTCTGACCGACACAAGGAGCGCCGGGAACACGTGGAATGACTCGGATCACCTGCTGGAAGGACTGACCGACATTCAGAAAGCATCGTGAAACCAAGTCATAAAGAGTTACCAATAAAATTAGTTGAAAAATACATTATTTACACAAGTATTTTCAAAACTGAGTACCAGCTTTTGCTGCAGTGTATAAAAGACAAATACATTTCAAAGGTCAGAGTTTGAGAAGTTTGCACACGTTTTTATGTTTGTAAAACCAGCCATTTAAAATTCTCTACAGCTGTAGGATGACGTACAATAACAACAAACGTTGCCACAAAATTCAGACTTAGTGCCTGAGTTGAATAAAATCATCGTAACTAGTCTGTCCAAATGTTTAGTCGTACATGTTGTTGGTGTTGTGCATTACCTGCAGGTAACATGACCTCTTTGTGAACACAGAAGGAACTGAGCTTCCCCTTAGACGTAGAACAGGCGATGAATGGAGTCGGTTTGTGTTTAACATCGAGTTACAGAGCTGATCTCTGGTCAGACAGAAAATTAATAAACTGTATTTAATCTCGAGCTGGATTTATAATTTATGCTCATAAATAAAATCAGCTGTGGCATCTAAAATTAAAGCTGGACTTTTATTTTCGAAATAAGTTGTGTTTTTCATGTACTGCTAAAAAGCGTCTTGTTTCTGCAACTAGGCCTGTCACGATAACAAATTTTGCTGGGTGATTGATTGTGTCAGAAATTATTGAGATAAATGATGATGTTTGAAATTTGACAGTAATTAGTAATTATTGTCAAATTTAAGAAGAAATGTTTATTTGTTTTGCATGTAGTACTGTTTTTTGACCACCGGATGGCAGTATAAGACAGTGTGAATTAAAGGATGGATAGTGAGGGAGCGAGCAGCGTGTCTCTTTAAGAAACGGGATTGAGGCCCCTTGACGCAACATGGGCTGTCTCTCCTTTTATTTGGTTCTCAAAATGGCAGATGCTCGGTGTGGTTTGAGCTCTTTAGTATAGCATTTTTCACAGAAAGCTGTTAATTAAAAAAATCAGTAAACAAGTTCTCCATTTCTTTTTGCAGAGAAAAACAACTTTTGACATGAAGGCACGGGTTTCAACTGTGAATTTTGGAGCTTCGACAAGACAGAGGTTTTTTTCGAGGTCAGCCTGTTAGCTTAGCTCGTAGCTTAGCTTCTTAGCTTAGTTGCTTTTAATGATACAAAAACACAATTTTAGACGGTTAAAATGGATTTTAAGAAAAAGAGAAAGGGAGGGGTCAATGAAGAGCACCAGAGTTGAGCCTTTTGTCATCCAGTGTCTTCAATAGAGAGAGAGAGACGAAGAAATGATAAAGCCAATAAACGAAAATGAGGTAGATAATTTTCATTTTGTTTATTGCAACAGGCCTATCTGCAACTTTTATGTTTGTTTTGGACTATGGAGATCTTTTGTATATGATTACTTCCTCACAATGTCTTAATATGCTGGACTCTGTCTACCTATCTTCTCAGAGGTTCATTAAAAACTGCAAAATGTCAACTCACATTGCGATTTCTACTCAAAGGTGGGATGGCCTGATCTGGCTGCCCAAAGGAACTCCCACTGGTTAACTTTTATTTAAAAGGCACTCCTGCCGGCCTGTATTTGTACTGAGAAATGTTGACTCTTACACTTTTCACTCACATGATTTGCTGCTTCTTTCTGTCCCTTTGGCTCGGGTAAGAAAACTTTCAATCACGCTGCTCCCTCTTCTTGCTACAAGAATCTCTGAGACTGACTGAATTCATCTCATTCAGTGATTTTACATCCAAACTAAAAGTTCTTGAGGCCAATTCAATGACATGCATCTGTTTTTTTAATAGCTTGACATTTTAATTGCGTAAAAATTTTTGTGTTGCATTTGTTGCTGCCTCTTGGCCAGGACTCCCTTGAAAAAGAGGTTTTAATCTCAATGGGGTTTTATTCTGGGAAAATAAAGGTTAAATATATATATATTTTTTTTAATCTAATTTACTAACTGTTGTGACAGATTTGTGCGCACAGATTTCCAAATGTCTTTATCAGAGAATAAGACGAAAAAGACTAGTATATTCAGGAAATCAAGTTCAGATGTAGTTACATGGTAAGTTCTGACTAAGACAGCTTCAAACCTCATCTGATCTTAATAGACACTCTGTTAGCCAAGTTGATCTATACATCTCAGCTGATTGAAAAGTGGTCTTTTTTTTAAAATACGTGGACATGGTGCACCTCGTCATTACGGCATTAAGAAGTATGACTCCTCAGTGACTGCATCACCATTCAGTATTAGATTATGTGCAGGCGGTGATAAATGTAGAGTTGGCGATACCGATGTCGATGCCCCTGCGTGGCTGCTTCTGGCCATCGATGAGGTCCTCCACCCAGTGGATGTAGTTGAGGCGCAGGGGGACGGTGGGGATGAGGCGCTCCAGAGGGATCTCGATGGTCAAACCAAAGTCCTCCTTCAGCAGGGTGCAGGTCAGCGCTCGCACCGCCTCCGGCTCTTTAAAGTTCACGCTGAAGGAAAAATACATTGAGCGACATGAGAATAACAGCACTATTTTTTCTTTAATGAACACAAAATAAATAAAAATAACATTGATTGGTTAAAGTTAATATCTAGGTTCAGTTATGCTTTTTAAATCACGTTTGCTTAAATCCATTCCTTAGATTTAAGATGAACAAATCAATCTTTCGTGATATCCAACCAACGTTGTTGCCAAATTTCCACTTTTCCAAAAAATTTGACTTAAAACAATGCTGTCATGATGACAACAGGGAGCAAAAGCTTTAAAAGGCATGAAATTAAGAACAAATCTCTTTTCACATACGACTGTACCACCAGGTACAGCTCAAATGTCATCTTGAAGTGCGCTGATGACACCACCATCTTGAGCCTCATCACCAACAATGATGAGAGTGCCTACAGAGATGAGATGAAATCACTGACCAGCTGGTGTCAGGAAAATAACCTCTCTTTAAATGTCAGCAAAAGAAAGGAGATGATAGTGGACGTCAGGAAACAGCATGGAGGCCAGAACTCCACTGTCTACATAAACAACGCTGAGGTGGAGCAGGTCAGCAGCTTCAAGTTCCTTGACGTTCACATGAGGATCTGTCCTGGACTTTACATACAGACACTGTGGTCAAGAAAGCCAGACAAAGACTCGACTTCTTAAGAAGACTAAAGAAGTTTGGTGTCAACACCAGCATCCTCACCAACTGTTATAGGTGCACCACTGAGAGCCTGCTGACAGGCTGCATCACACGGTGGTATGGGAACTGCACCAGTCAGAAAGCTCTACAGAGGGTGGTGCAAACAGCAGAGGACATCACTGGTAGCAGTCTCCACACCATCCAGGACATCTAACACAGTCGATGTCTGCGTAAAGCAGCATCATTAAGGACCACACTCACCCAGCACAAGGACTCTTCCATCTACTACCCTCAGGCACATGATACAGGAGTCTGTCATCAAGCACAAAAAGACTCAAAGACAGTTATTACCCACAAGCTGTCAGATTACTGAACTCTTGATAATAATACTGCACTATTGAAAATAACGTTGCACTAAGCCACATCTGTGACACGTGTCACGTCATCGTCATGTTGTTTACAATATCCCTTTTGGACCTTGTAAATATATTTCTTTTCACTTTTTGGTACTTTATTTTGTACTTTTATTGTATGCTTTAGTATTTCTTTTTTTTTTTTTTTAACGAGTCAAAACGGTTCTTCTCATCCTGAACCTTTCATTGCACTGTCGACCTTGTGTTAACAAATAAACAATAAACTAAAAGGCAGATTTCTCTTTAGCGCCTTGCTGGTCTGCTTGTTTTACTTCAGAGGCCACCTGACAGAAATTTACCAATGCACCTAATACAGCACTTCATTAACCTGCCGCTCCTTATACCAAGCACCATTACTCACGTATTACACGCACGAGGGACACCAGGAGGGATGAGCAGCCCATCAATTTACCCTCCCGCTGAGGACAAAGATTTTCAACTCAGACCTCCCACTCTCTACTCCCAGCTCTTGTTCAGTCCCCCGTCTTCTCTGCGTTTAATGATTTCAGCTGTCGTGCAGAACGAGTGGGCGAGATAGGTGTAATTAAAGCGTCGCAAAGCGCTTTCGCACCTTGGCAGAAGCAATTAGGCATCCTGGTGATTGGGTGCGTCTCACACCACACATGGTCGGTGTGAGCACTTTCCAACAGAGGAAAACGTCTTTTTATTATTAGTTTTTTATTACATCTGTCAAATGAGAAGCTACAAACAGGATTTAACGCGGTCATAAACATCCTGAATTTGTTTTACTTTTCTAAATAAGTCAAATTTAGAGAAAGTCAAACATTTTTTTTTCCCCACAACAAATAAAAGTTTATATAGATTAATTTTCCTCGTCATTTCTCTTGAATGCAAAATGACCAAAAAACTTCCATATACTAAATAAAATCAAGTGTTAAAACTTAGTGTTAGGGACTACATCAGTCTGTGCAGCTCAAGTTGTAATGTCAATCCTGTTAACTGGTTTAACCTGTGGATTTTAACCAGTCACTAACATGTTATGTCACCAGATTCAGTGCCAAAAACCTGACAAAAATCTTTACTAAACGACCACAAACTGACCAAAAAAAGGCTCATGTCATGTGATTTTAACAAGAATAATTGAAGGAACAAACTTTGGACAATATCCAGTCACGTCAAATAAAAACCCTTTAAACGCACATGTAAAATTAAATTTTATTTAAAGGATTATTTCTTGAAATACTGCATATCACCCGCTGCCTGCTGACAGGAACTCTCCATGTTCATTAAAAAGCAAATGGGTCTCAAACAGTCAGTTTTATTCTGTGTCTATAATCCTAATAAAGTCATTTATGTTGAGTGAACAGCTGCTGAGCTGTCAGAGAAACCAACGCCTGCTTTCTCTGACCATTTCCCATGATAAAAAAACAACCCAGTGATGAAATTAACACTTTAAAACGGTCCTGAAACGTTGGGAGGAACCAGACAAATGAGGGGACGTCTTTATCAGGATGACGCTCCATTTCTCACACACAACTCTCATTAGATCAAGATCAATATTCAAACAGGGAGGTAGCTCAGGCCGACACTATTTTTAGTCCTCTAAGTGAGTGTGCAATGCAGACCGATCGCTCCCATAAGCAGCAGCATCACTGCAAATCTCCATGGCAACCACACCTACTGAGCAGACGAGGGGAGCACGCAAATCCGGCCACGCTGGAGCAATGGCTGATGGCAGAAGGAGCGTGAGCGCGCCCGAGATCTACGCCTTTGCTGCCACGTAGGGTTCGCCGCTGCGTGCTTACGCCATGAATGTAGCATCAGACGCATGGTCGGACAAATGCGAGAGGAAAACTTGCTAGGAGGTGAGATTCTGCAGCTGAACTGTGAAGACGAGTGAGATAAAGACAGGTGCAGGCCAGGTGAGCAGCTTCACTTGTTCTGAAGAGTTCTCGTTTCAGACAAATAAAGATGAAGACATCATTAAACCTGAGAAAGGACCACGGCCGAGACAGAGTTGCATGAAAACACACAATAACGCACACTCCATCTCTGCCCACAGAGGTGACCTTCAGCAGCATTTAACACTCAGAGCACTGGGAATCATTTTGTGCTGACGAGCAGCGCTTTCTAGCTGCTTTTTATCTATCTATCTATATACAGTGAGGAAAATAAGTATTTGAACACCTTGCAACTTTGCAAGTTCTCCCACTTAGAAATCATGGAGGGGTCTGAAATTTTCATCTTAGGTGCATGTCCACTGTGAGAGACATAATCAAAGAAAAAAAAAGAAGAAGAAGGAAATCACAACGTATGATTTTTAAAATAATTTATTTGTGTGTTACTGCTGCAAATAAGTATTTGAACAACTGTCAATCAGCAACAATTCTGGCCCTCAAAGACCTGTTAGTCCGCCTCAAAAAAGTCCACCTTCACTCCACTTATTATTGTAAATTAGAAGCACATGTTTGAAGTTGTTAGCTGCATAAAGACACCTGTCCACCCCACACAATCTGTAAGACTCCAACTACTAACATGGCTAAGACCAAAGAGCTGTCCAAAGACACCAGAGACAAAATTGTAGACCTCCACAAGGCTGGAAAGGGCTATGGAGCAATTGTCAAGCAGCTTGGTGAAAAAAGATCAACTGTTGGAGCAATTATTAGAAAATGGAAGAAGCTAAACATGACTGTCAATCTCCCTTGGACTGGGGCTCCATGCAAGATCTCACCTCATGGCGTATCAGTGATACTAAGAAAGGTGAGGAATCAGCCCAGAACTACACGGGAGGAGCTGGTCAATGACCTGAAGAGAGCTGGCACCCCTGGTTCCAAGGTTACTGTGGGTAATACACTAAGACGTCATAGTTTAAAATCATGCATGGCACGGAAGGTTCTCCTGCTTAAATCAGCACACGTCCAGGCCCGTCTGAAGTTTGCCCATGACCATTTGGCTGATCCAGAGGAGTCATGGGAGAAAGTTATGAGGTCAGATGAGACCAAATTAGAACTTTTTGGTCTTAATTCCACTCGCCGTGTTTGGAGGACGAAGAATGATGAGCACCATCCCCAAACACCATACCTACTGTGAAGCATGGGGGTGGAAGCATCATGCTTTGGGGGTGTTTTTCTGCACATGGAACAGGACGACTGCACTGTATTAAGGAGAGGATGACTGGGGCCATGTATTGCAAGATTTTGGGGAACCACCTCCTTCCCTCAGTTAGAGCATTGAAGATGGGTCATGGCTGGGTCTTCCAACATGACAATGACCCAAAGCACACAGCCAGGATAACCAAGGAGTGGCTCTGTAAGAAGAATATCAAGGTTCTGGAGTGGCCTAGCCAGTCTCCAGACCTAAACCCTATAGAAAATCTTTGGAGGGAGCTCAAACTCCGTGTTTCTCAGCGACAGCCCAAAAACCTTGCTGATCTAGAGAAGATCTGTGTGGAGGAATGGCCCAAAATCCTGCTGCAGTGTGAGCACACCTGCTGAAACACTACAGGAAACCTTTGAACTCTGTAACTGCAAACAAAGGCTACTGTACCAAATATTAACATTGATTTTCACAGGTGTTCAAATACTTATTTGCAACAGTAACACACAAATAATTTTTTTTTTTTTTAAATCATACATTGTGATTTCCGGATTGTGTTTTTTTTTTTTTTTTTTAAGTCTCTCACAGTGGACATGCACCTAAGATAAAAATTTCAGACCCCTCCATGATTTTTAAGTGGGAGAACTTGCAAAGTCGCAGGGTGTTCAAATACTTATTTTCCTCACTGTATAATACGCAAAGTCCTTACAAAAGCAAAATGAGTGCGTTACTTAAAACCAGCCACAAATTCCAAAATGAACATGTGAAAATCTAACTTTTAACTTAACTAAAAAGACAGACAATTTGGGTACAAACAGAAACAAAATAGTCTAAGAATTAATAAAATGGGATAGTTTCCATCTAAAAGTTACTTTAAGTGACACTTAACAT